ACAAAAAATTACAACAATAACGCATCTCACAAAGTAGTCCCGGATCCTTTATCGCGGAAAAATATAAGATCGGTAAAGCTGTAGGGTCGTCTCTCGACTCTCGTCCTGCGGCCGTTCAAAAAGGCATTTTTCGGTACATCCTAAAGTCATAATCCCGCGAAAAGCGCCCGCGAAATTATTTCGTCAAAGCAGGCTCGCGTGAATGACAGCCATTCTCCCCTCTCCCTAACTCACCTCCCCGTCGCTCCTCGCCACCCTTCCACCGCCCGTCTCATTCACTCTGTCGTTCGTACTTAGGCACACCAACACGCTCACTTACTCACACTTTTGGCCGAGAACCAAAGAAATACAATTCTAATCCTCGGCGAGATCTAAACGGTTGCCAATCATTTCCGGTTTTCAGATTAGTCCCGCGAGCAAAAGAGAAGTCACACACGCATCTACAGGGCGTGAAACTTTATTTTTGACTAGCGGCACTTTGCTGCTCGTCATCGCGCACAAATGCGCGTGTGTCGACGCTTGCGCACGTATGCGTTAAAGAGCCTTTACAATTTTAGACGAGGGTCTGCGTCTGTGTGTATAAGCGAGAGAGAGAGAGAGAGAGAGAGAGAGAGAGAGAGATAGAGATAGCAAGAGAGGGAAAGACCGCTTAAGCGGATTATACGCGTCGTTTCAACAGCGCGCGGCAAAGGAGCGAGAAGGCCCTCATTCAAAAATCTCGGATCGAGTTTTCACGCTTTTTGACTCCCGTGTACGTATGCATGAGCGCACGAATGTATATAGGGGGAGGGGGGCGTGCGAAAATTCGCCTCGAGCGGGATACGGCGATGACGGGTGGGTTTTTCGACAGGATCGGAGCCGCAGGTCGAAGGCACAGTCGCGCGAGCCTTGTTATTCCAAGGAAGTGAAAGTCAACGCCTTAATTTGTCGTTGAATGGCTCGGCCTTGTGATTTTCCACTTTGATGTTGAGTCAATGCGAGTTTTCATCCGTCGTATACAAACGCCTTAAATTTACAGGCACTTTGCTCGAGCCGTGCGATTGATCTTTTGTCGAGCGGTGAAGAAGGAGCGTCAATAAGTACAACGGCCGTATTATGTCGTGGTGCAAACGATGACTGGGAATACCTTTGACGTTTTGACAGACGAAAAACGCAACTAAATAGCGGGGATCGAATTTACAAAAATTAGCAGATCCTTAGCTTTAAATTTATTTCTGGTGTCGGAGTGGTGCTTCGAGTAAGGCGACGAACGTAACATGAAAACGCAAACAAGTCGTTATGTGCGCGATTCCTGGACGACGCGTGGCTCTTCACGCCGTGGAACATCAAAGACAAGACCGAGATGAGCCGTCAGATCGTCAGCATAACAAAGTCTTCAATTTTAAGCGGCAGACCGTCTCGGTCGATTCTCAACGATTTCATATCGGTCCGCGCGAGCGATACTTAATCGCCATCCCGTATCCCGTAGGGCGAAAAGCGCAAAACCATGCGGAAATTTGCAAACGACTTTATTGTCGCGGCTATGGGAGAAAAAACATGGCGAAGCCACTTTTTCACACTGTGTCCGTTACGCGAAGGCGAGGGATTTCGTTGGGGTCGTTTTTATCGCGTATTGTTCGACGCTGAGGTAATGCCATCGCTTGCAAAAATGTTAATCGTCGGCTTTACTTTCATTGGACGAACAATGCCGACGAACATGCAGATTTTAGAAAGTGTTGGTTCGCCTGTCAATTACATGAAACTTTAATGCTACCACCACCTTCTTTCTCTTCTCTCGGCTGTGCTCGATGATTACTAACGATTGTGTCATATTCAAATGATAAATAATTGTTGGAGCGTTTGTTGATAATGAACGATCTATCACGATTAATCGTCAATTGGCTTTATTTCAGCAACAATTTTTTACATCTGACGTTATTAAAATGATAAACTACTTTCACCGATAATTAACATTGGCTAGGCTAATATTAAAATGTTCTTTTAATATGAAAATTTTAATTCAAGCCAATGCGTGTGAATCGCGCTAGTGGAAGAGAGCGATGGTAAAGTCTTGCATGAGGTTTGTCCAACGGATGCCAAAATGAAGAAAAATAAATAGATATCGACGTGGATGAATCAGGTAGTTTTTGTGAATTAATAACCACGAGGTATATTAGATGAAAGTTATTAAGCATAAGCAATTGATAAAAAAAGATCCGAGTTCATTATGAGATGGGCAACAATGGATATTCTTAAAAACTCTTTATATATATAACCGTTGGTCGTCAAATTGTAAGCGTCACTAACGCGAAAAAAAAGATCCATGGATAACTTTGTGGACGCAACGTTTAAGGTGCCGTCCATCTTCCAGTTATCGTTCAATCCACTTTACACTTATCATTGGCGAGTGGCTTTTTATTTAAGGAGCCACGTTCTCCTCCAACGACCAGGCATTTACATGCACTATTTTAATGCATGGGATGTGGGCGAGAAGCGCATACGGGGGGGGGGGGGGAGAAAAACTGAAAGCAAAAACTTAAACGGCTAAAAGAACAATGACCAGCGCGAGATTGGGCCAAGGCGAAGGTTTAATAAAAGGCCCGATGGTAATGCCGTGAAACGTCGCGGCGGCTCCCGGTGAATAATTTGCGGCGGGAACGGGAGCGAGAGGGGAGGGCTACGTCGAGGGAGAAAATGAAGGAGGCATCCCAAGGGCCAAAGCATAATGCTGTTCATTTCAGACGGGCGTCACTTCCGTCCGATCGATGGGCTCCGTTGCCGCTGTATATCTCGCGCTTAACGAAGACGATTCTTTGCCGTTACGAGCGCACTTAAGATCCTGCCCGATAATCTCATCGCGGCTAAGCCTCGTCGTCCCGACTCCATAATGGTAAATTGGCCGAGCGAGAGCGGGCTTCGTTAAAAAGAGAAACCCGATTATTCGCCGAGTGCAGATATTAGCGAACGCGACCCAAGATCCTGACAGCGCCCCCCCCCCCCCCCCCCCAGTTGCGGGGGGGGATGGGGGGGGGGGGGAGGCTCGTGGTAA